TTTTCCCTTTGTTGTGGTCGATTTAAATGCCATTTACTTACCCCAAAAAACATAAGATTTTTAAAACATTATTAATAATACATATTGCATTAACGTGCCTTAAAGATGCAGTCAATAAAGAATATACGATTTCCTCTATAGTATGTGTGCCTAAAACGTTTTTAAGTATACAATTTAAAAATTTGAATTTAATCTTTATAAAATTGTATTGTATTTTATACATAAATTACGCATACACATGATTGAAAAATTGTCAATTTCACGTGAGAATTGAATTCTAGGTATACACACTAATGATTAAAAATTAATATATTAGGAGGGTTAAACGACATTTGCGGACCCGCACTTGTGGACCGACACATGCGGAGCAGAAATGAAATAAAAAAAATAAAATAGGTGATAAAAATTTAAAAAAATATGTACTTCAAAAAAGTTAAAAATAAAAAAACATTATTTGGTTTCAAAGGAAATCAAACCTTTTTGACTAGAATGTTTATACTACTTTTAAATTTTCTTCTTAAGATTTGTAACATACTTCAACAAAGATTAAATAGGAATTATAGTAGACGAATCAGCACTGCTGTATTTTATAAAAAATATATACATATGTAAATGGAAAATAAATCTTATTATTTAACTTAGGCATAAGAATTACCAGCTATTTTATTAAACTTTTGGATGTTCCTACTAAAAGTTAAATGCCAATCTGGTCACATGTTTTTTTAATGTTGGGCATATTATGTCCAATCTTATACCATCTTACTCATTACACACGTGTAATCGCTCATTATAAACGCATTCGCGGGGACCTCCTCCCCCACCCCTCCCCCAAACCACCCGCCCCTTTTACACGCCCGCTTGACCTATTTTATGACATATAAAATGCTTTACCATTTTTGTAATAGGCAGTCTATTTTAAATTTTTTAATTTTCCCTTCCCATTCATTATTCTTCTCAGACCTTGAGAACCCCAGTAAAAAAATAGCGAACATAACAACCGCATTCAGGGCTGTCCGCAAATGAAAAAATTTTCCGCAGCCGCAATCCGTTTGGGGACCTAAAATCTATCCATGAATCCCTTTAATCGTTAAAAATTCACATATCCCTCTAAATCTTCAGATAACTCCAAATCTATCTTAATACTTGCGAATCCCCGATGTACCTCTTTGTCTTTAAAGATTTATATACCGTATTCCCTCAAATAGTACGGCCGGCCGTACTATTTTTCAACCCTCTTCTAAAGGGCCGTACTAATTGAGGGAGCCGCACTATATTTCAACCCTCCTTCGGAATTATCTTAATAATTTTTCTGGTTATGCCACCTTGAACTAAGACCGGGTGTATTGAATTTTTTTGTTTTTTATTACACACACTAGATTGTACCTAGAAACTCTCCTTAATCATATGCCTAGATCCAAACTGAGATTACAAAGACCTTAAAATTTAATGCTGCATGTAAAATGGCATCCATATCAAGAGTTTTTGTTGAGTGTTTTGTGTAGCGTGAGGAGTTAGGTCTGTGCATCCGTGCGTGATGAATTTAAAAGTTGAGAGATTAAGGAGGTCTCCAAAATCTTGAGAGTTGAGAGATTAAGTTGATAGATTAAAGATCCAAAATCTTAAAAGTTTGGAAAAAATTTGGCTTCTTGGCCTTACAAAACTCTCAGAACTTCGCCTGCAGCGCTGGAAATTCCGAGATTGTCTCTAACAACTTTGGACAGGGTTCTTCTTTCCAGCCTAATGTTGGCGCATTCAGGCATTCGAGAGGGACCTCTCCCTCTCTCCCCCGTGCAGTGATCCTCCTCTAGTACAATGCTTTTCTTACCCCTCCCCCCGGCGATCCGCCCCTAATACACGCACGATTTACTTATTTCACGATTATAAAATGCTTTGGTATTTTTGAATAGGCAGTCTATTTCAAATTTTTTAATTTTCTACTTTACACTATTCCAGAAAAGATAGAAGAAAGATAAAAATTACATCCCTATTTATGAGAGGCTTATCCATATAAAACTCCGTTCCATTATCGAAAATTTCAGAAATTCTTTTATGAAATTCGATAAAAGAATCCAATAATAAAATAAGAACAAACATAAAATTTCATTTTTGTTTTTAGATGAGTCGGAAAAAATCATTTCTGAGACTCTTATTATTTTATTTAACAAATTGTCTGATCCAAACTGCCTTTTCTGCAAGAAGTCAATGGGGTTCGGGTCGAAAAAGTTTCATTTCAAGAACCAGCTCTGAAGGGTCGGCAAGAAAAAGTTTTAAAAGTCTTCCTTCATTTAAAACTGAAGAGATGGTTGCCGAAGAATATGTTCAGAAGTTGGTGGGTAAAACGCAATATTTTATGCCGAAGGTTATTGATGGTGATGTTTATTGTAAAGAAAAAGATTTTCTTGAAATAAAGGGTGATGAAAATCTTGAAAAATCAAAGAAAAAAGGATGTAAATATTTTACATCAAAAGATATAACTGTTGCAAAATTATTGGAATATTTTTATTTGAAAATTGATAAAATTGAAGGAATGAGAGAAAAACTTGAGCAAGTAGAATTTGAAAATGATAAATGCAATATTGGCTTTCCTTTGCCAAAAAATATTTTTGGAAAGGCATTTCTGCTTGACACCGCCTTAACATTCTCTGGAGATGAATTGAAAGAGTTGGTACATGGCGAAGAAAAAATGGTTTATGATAAATTATTGAAGGAAGAAGAAGAGAATGACGATGAAGAAGATGAGAATGAAGGAGAGAATAATGATGAAGAAGAAGAAGAGGGTGATGCTCGTTTAAGTACACATGTTTTGCTTGAGCCAATTTACAAGGGCAGTAGTGCATTCACAGAGAATTTTATTTTGAATTTTGAAAAAATCCCAAAAATGGAATATGAATACGAAATTCAAAAACAGAAGAATCTTAAGGATACATCTAAAAGAATTTCTGAGAAAATACACACGATATTGAAAAATATGATTGAAAGGATGGAGAAAAAAATTGACAAAAAAATGATAAAGGAAATCAAACATCCTCGCAGAAGGCAAATTCTTTACCAAGAGAAAAACCTCCAGCAGAGGAAAATGAAGATGCAACCTTCATTGTACAACAAGAGGAACATGATGATTTTGATAAAGAAATGACAGAGCTTAAAAAATTGAAAGATGGAAAATTAACAATTGATAAAAAATTAAAATTAGAAATTTTTGAAAAGAAAGAAGAAATTGAAAAGAAATTGATAGGAATTCTGAACGGATATAAAACAGTTGAAGAAAAGAAAGGACAGATAGGTAAATGGAAGAAAATTGTTGATGACTGGGATAAAGATGCGAGAAAATCCTTTGAAAAGAAAATAGAAATAAAAAAAGATGAAAAAGGTCACAAAATGTTGCTTGAATATAAACCGCATGTATTTGAATTTCTAAAGGTAAATCATTTTTGGCATAAATAATTTTTATCGGCTTAAACGTTTTAAATTAATTAACCTTACAACGGGTTCTGTCCTCTTACTATACCGCTACCAACGAAAATAGAAAATTTTTAAAAATATGAGAAATTACAATTTCTGTGGATTTGTGATCAAAGTATTGATGAATTTTGACTGATCGCATTATTAACGCATTATTTTCGTTTTTTCATAATTATACATATACTGTCAATAATTAAAATAAAAATTTAGGAAGTAACTTTCGGAGTGAGTATTAAACCATCAAACAAACGTTTCAAAAAACTTGAAGAAGAAGAGTATGAAGAGTTGATAGAATTTTTCAAAAATCCTCGGGAATTTCTTAATTTGCCTCCCGAAGAAAATGAAACAGCAAACAATGATCAGTCGGAAAATTCTGAAAATAAATGGAAAAAGAAATTGAGTGAAAAATTGTTGAAGTTTATATTTGAAGAAATGGAAGAAATAAAAGGAAAAGGAGTTGGAGAAGGAGGAAGGGGAGGTGAAGAAGGGGAGATCCAGGAAAAGTATATTATTGAAGTATTAAATGAAGAATTTAAATGGCTAAATTTGGGGTTTAAACGCAAAATAAAAGAAACGTTTCAGAAGAAAGTAAAGGTTGAAAATAATAGAACGTTTGTTGTTGAAGATTTTATAAAGTTGAAAAAAGAGTTGACAGATATTGACAATGGCATTGAAAATTGTAAAATGTTAAAAGATCCAATACTACAAGTGTTACGTTTTAATGATGAAAGTGACACTATACATCAGGAATTCCGTGGAAGGTCAGACTTTTTTAATTATAATAGGCATGTAAATTTTTTAGGACATTACCATAAATATACATATGTAATATCTAAAATTTTCAAAATAATATCAGAAATTTATACGGATAAGATAACCGATGGTCCCAAACCAACAGATCGATTATCCCTAATACAAAAATTTAGGGATCCAACCCCAGGCTTCGAGAAATATAGTATGTCTATATGGCTTCCCCAAGGATATAAAATTTAATAAATTTTCGCAAAAAAATAATATTTATTATTTTATTTTTATAGTCTAGTATCCCTCATAACTTTTTGTTTATAATTAATTAATTACAGAATGGGAGCACAAATACTCGGATCTGTCTACAACGCAAAAGAATTAACTAAAGACCTTTGGAATGGCTTGTTATTAAGTCTGGGTGGTGCTGGATTCATAGCAGCAGTTCTTGATATTGGTGTTTGGCCGGGAGTAATTGCATTAATTTCGCTGACTGGATGCATTCCTTGTGCTCATATTGTGGGAGTAGTTCTCTACTCGTTGACACCCCTCGCAGCAGAAACTTTTGATTCGCTCGTTATAAAACGTTTATTAATTTCATTCGATGGTGGAAGTTTTTGGCCAAGTTCTAAGGCTGTTTTTGATGAAAATCTAAGAGATGCAGCCGCTGCAGGAAAAATAGCCGCTGGCGGTTCTATTTTTAACAACCTACTCGCGATGGAAGAAATTAGTAAATCGTTTCCAGAAAATGCCAATTGGTCTTCAATACTCCCTGCTTTTCCGGCAAATCTTGTATGAGAAAAATTTTTAAAAATTATTTTTTAAATAAAATAAACACCAAAATATTCTCTAAATTTCAGATAGCAACAGCTACTTCTGGTGCAATGGTACCTCAGGAATTCAATAAATGGCGTGACCATCAACGTTCGGCCCTATATAAATTATATGATCAAGGATTTCTCCCAAAACCAGATAGTGATAAAATTGTTTTGAAATGGAGAAAAATTGCTGAAAAGAAACAAACAATTCGGAAAAGTATTTTTAGCATTTTTGCTGCAAAAAAACCAGAAACATCTCCAAAAATTACAAACAAGGAAAGAGATATTGCATTCCGTGAATTCATCAAATCGAAAATTGAAGCATCTATGGATATACAAAAAACTTCTGCAATGACCATTAATTCAATGGGAATTGGTGCTTTGATAAGCTCATTAGTATTATTCACCTTGTATTTTCCTTCTCTGTTTGGAGTAAAAATTCCAGAAGTTCTCGAAAAAATCTTTATAATTGTGGTTAATACACCAACAGAAATGATTTCTTTCGTTGCTGGAATTTTTTCGGCAAATAAGTTTGGAGCAGAAACAGTAGAAAAGTGGTGGAGTACAGACGATATGAAGAATAGACAAATGGTAAGTGAGATATACTACAATCATGAACTTAAGACCTTCATAAAAACCATTAAAATTTAAGAAGCACGTTTGTAGACAAACGGTTGCCAATAACTAAAATACCCCAAATATATCTTTAACAATACCTTCTAATTTAACATTTTTAATTCGAGGTTCGACTTATCATTGATCGAACAATAGAACAAATGAAAAACCCTCGTGAAGGGATCCAAAAAATTAAGCAAAAGGAAGTTAATGAAATATATCATACAAAATTGAATAAAGTAACCTTTACATATGGAAAAAACGTTACGAAACTTATTATTGTGGTTTCTAAAGCCGTCACAAATTCTTGGAATAAAATGTGGGGAAAACCGATTTCAGAATCATTATTTAAGCAAATAAATATTGGAAAATTGGCATTGCCATTTTATAAAGGTTTGGAATTGAAAAACGAAAACGATAAAAAATACTCTTTAATTTATAGAAAATGAAGTGAAGGAAGATTTAACTTTCAATTTATCCTACTTAGAGGATGATCTTTTGAAGAAAATACCGGAAATGCCTGGATTTAGTAAAGAAAAGTTTAGCGAGTTCATCAATGAAATTAGTAAATAATATTAAAATATTTGCTCAAATAGAAGGAAATAATTAAGTTTATCTAATCATAGTCGGTAGAGGGATGGGATAGTTTAGCAGACAATTGCAGTCTGGGAACTTCTTTCCAAAATTTATACTCCTCGTACCTTGATACAAAATAAGAATTTTAGTAAAAATTTTCTTGAAGCACCCGGGTGGATCGGCCTCTTTATCCATTAATTTCCTCCTTTTATTATAGTACCATACCATGAGAAGCACAAATTGAGTTTAACGGAAAGTCATCATTATATGACTATTGTCTCCAACTCGAACATTAATGGCAATTTTGATTTTAAAAGAGCCATTAATAATGAATTGATCAATAAAAGTGTAGATGAGTCATTGAATTTTGTAAAATTTTAAATAATAATATTAAAAATATTTTTAGTGGGTAGTAGATAGTAGGAGGATACTTTGATAAAATAGCTTTTTCTGATTAAGATTGGGATATCGAATTTGTGCCAATGATGAGAGATCTAGGACTTTTAATATTGTAAGATAAAATTAAAAAAAAAAAGAAAATTAAAATTTGAAAAGAATAGTCCCCTCACAATAATCAAAAGTGGATTTTTATAGAGCTTGCGGGGATAGAAATTTTGGGCAGGTTACTTTTATCAAACAAATTTTACAGATTTGTTGTAAAATTTAAATGTTTATTTTTTTGAATAACTATCTTAACATTAAACAACTAATTAGGATTAATAATTAGTTTATTCTAAATGTCTTGATATTCAAACAAATTTGTTACTAAAAATCATTTATTTTCTATAATTTGTTTTTAGTTTGAAGAGAACAAAAATAAAGAAAGCTTAAACAAAGCTTTAAACAATTTTGAGACGAACATTGAATTAAAGAGTAAAATTCTAAAATGCGGTTTGTACGGGAAAATTTTACATTTTACCGCTTTGGAGATTGATAATGAGGATAAAATTGAAAAATCTGAGTTACTTACAGAAGAGGAATTAAATAAAATAAAGGATGAAATCACAAAAGAAATAGATGATTATTTAATGCAAAACGAAGGATTTTTTGTTAAAAAGGAAGGATTTTTGGAAGGATTTTTGAAAAAATTTTCAAGCAAAAATGAGGAAAATGAAGAAAATAAACGTGAAAAATTGAAAAAGATAAATCTCAAATATAAACTGAGAAAATTATTTTTGCTGAGATTGAAAATAAAATTGGCAGAATTAAAAGAACGACCAATGGAAATTGGTTGGTAATTTTATAAATTAAAAAAAAACTTATTTGAATAGGGTTATTTTTAATTAAAATTTTAATTTTTTTAAGAAAAAGCTCCTTTGAATGGAATAATCGAACAATTAAAGAAATTCGGTATTCATGGAAATGCTCCAGAATTTCTAGCCGAAATAATGCACAAAATTGAGTCTAAATGTGAACAAACAGAGAAACTAGAAAATAATGTAAGAAAACAAACTGATATCGTCAAAAAAAATTTTGGAGAAAAATTAGATAAAGAAATGAAAAAAACTTTGACAAAAGATGATGAATTTAAGAGAAAAACTTGGGAAAGGCTTATGGATTTGGCTACTAAACGTTCAAATTTAAAAAAATATTTGAAAAGAATGGCTAAGGAAACCAGAGAGGTTGTAAAAACTTTGGACGAAAATAAGAAAAAATTGGATAAACAAAAATTGGTTTTAAAGGATGATAAAAAGAAAGAAGAGTTAGAAGAGTTTAAAAAGAAGGTAAAAATAAATTTTAAAAATAATTTGTGGATATATTAAAAATAATATTAGAAGAATTTAACCCTTTTTCTCTAATACCCTCTCATAAATAATTGTATTAGGTACATTAGTCTATTATTTATAACAAAATGAGGTTGTATATCAAATTTTAAAATTTAAATTTTCTAATTTAAAAACAAATTAATATCAATTTTATCCTCTCTCAATTAATTACACCCACCAGCAAGAGAAATAATTAATCAGGGTAATATGTATGTGGTTTGAGCATATATGTAGGTGTTTAGATAAATTAAATTTTGAAGGGGATTTAAGATGGGCTTCTTTCAAAGAGTTAATTTGGAAATATTCTTTCTTTTAATTTAGGTGAATAATGAAATGGAGGCTTACAAAAACCGTATGATCGAAAAATTCAGATTTCTTAACAAGAATTGGGAAGAAATTGTTGAGAAAAGCAAAGAAATCCCAACAAATGTCAAAGAAACTTTAAAAGAAAATGGCCATTCATTTATTGGTTACTGTTTGGCAAAACGTTTCCAATTTGTTTTTAACGATGAGGGACAAGCAAAAACAAAGTTTTATAAAGATAACAATTCATATCTTTTGGGATATGCGACAGAAATTAATGAAATATTGGGTCCAAGAAGAGTAAACTTGGAACATTACAAAGAACTTGAACATAAATTCAAAGAAAATATTCTAAAGTTAAAAACAAAAAATCAAATGGAGGCGGGAAGCTCCAGTGAGACGGGAAAGTTGGGTAAAATGATAGATTTAGTTTTGAATGATTATTGGGGGAATATATGTGCTATTGACAGAGATAATGTTCAATTTGAAAAGGCAGATGAATGGATACTACAAACAGGTAATTTGATAAAATTTTATAAATTATTTTTAAAAATAATTTATTTAATTGTAATTATCGTTACTTTTACGTTATAAAGTACCGTCAAATTCCTTGACTGTACTTTAGGTAGTGGCAATTCCAAAGTCTTTCGATTTACATATCTTTGGGTTCGTCTCATTTGTCTAAGTCACCTCAGTCACCTCATCATGAACACCTCATTATGATCGTAATGGAAAAGAAAAGTACTTTATAAATGAAAAGTACCAAATTTTTATTAATTAAATACTCTATTTTTGTTATATTCATTTACTGACTTTCTGAGGAAAAGCAAATTCAATTCTTTAAAATTTATTATTTCACACAGTCAATACAATACACGATGACAATTTCAATCTTGCTGATCTGAAGTTCGCTGATATTGATCCTAATGACTTTAATCATATGGACAAAACAAGCAACGAATGGTCAAACTTCAAGAATGGAGCTTGTAAGAAATAAATTATATTTTTATTTTCCTAACATTTTAAATTAAGTGGAACGTTTCAATTTACATAAATTAACATTTACTGAGGCACATATAATAATTGCTTACTTTCATAAAAATTTGAAGAATCATACAGCAATTGATACAACAATAATACAAAGCGAAATGGAAAAAAATATTTATTGGGAAATTAAAGAAGAAATTGAAAAAGTTTGTGTAAAATATATTTTTAATTACTAAATTTATTTTTTAAGTTAAAAACAAATAAAAATGTTCAACATGAATTAATTGTCAAAAAAGAATTGTCTCGTGTCGAAACTTCAATCAAATTAAAAGAAAAATTAAAAGAATGTGGATTGTCTGTTTATGTATTGAAATTTGTTTTAAATGAAAATCGAGGCGAAGAAAAAAATCGTTTTGGATCAATTATTCGATTATTGCCTAAAGCTCTACGCTTATCAAAAAAGAATGGTAGCGCAAAAGGATTGTCTGAAAACATAAAAAAATATTTGGAAAATTTTGAAAATAAATGTGAAGCAGAAATTGAAGGAAATAAAGAATTGAGTAAACAGATTGTAGAAACAAAAAAATTAAAAGAAGTTAAAATTGAATTAATTATTGAAATTAACAAATTTGAAAATAAATTGAATGAAAAAATTAAAAAATTGGAGAAAAGAAATTTAAAAAATGAAATTAAAAAGAATGAAGATTTGGAGGGAAAATTAGTGAAGGAAACAAGAGAATATATTGACAGATTAGTGAAGAAATTGGTCTTTTTAGTTAGAAATTATGAGAAATTAACAAACAAACATCCGGTTTGTTTAATTTTAAATACCTAATAATAAATACTTTATTTTATTTTAGACTTCACAAAGTAATGGACAAATAAATACTTCAAGTTTATCAGCAATTCTTTATTGTTTAACAAATAAATTTTTGGAAATATTTAACGAAGATGGAGTTGTTAATATGGATATTTTATTACAAAATATTTCAAATGCTAATTTGATAGAATATGGACTGGAAATGAATGAAAAATTGGGAAAGAAAAGAGTTGATAAAATGTAAATAAATATAGAGTAAATGTCCTAGTAAAAGCCCTCGGTTTATATTTTTCAATGGGTCTCATTAATTTGGAATGGGTTCTATAAAGAGATTAGACTGTGTTTTAAAAAAAATTAAAAAGAGATAAACTGAAACCCCAGATTTATAAAAAAATAACCAGCTTTCGAGATCGATCCTGAGTTATAATTCTAAATAAATTATTTAAATCAGGGTTCAGCGGTATCGGGATTCCGAAAATATACTCGTGTATTATTAAATATTTCGAATTCGGTTACGGGTTTTTCTTTTAAATGACCAATGGTTTTGGGATAACTTACTGATATATACAAAACAGTATTGTATACGATTTTTCGATTTTTACACTGTAACTTATATTTTTAAAGGTATTATCAAGAAATTCTCAAAATGATTGGAAATAACAATGGTGGATTAGAAAAATTGAAAGAGAATTGGCGTAATTACTGCTACATTGACAAAGAAAATATTGAATTTGAAAGGCCCGAGGAATGGGCAGTTAACTATAGTAAATTTTAAATAATTTAATTATTTTAAATTTTAAATTAAAGAAAATGAAATTGGTTTACAAAATGATGGTTTTCGTTTGGCATATTTGGGAGAAGATAATGATGAATTAATGTCAGCAATTAATGATAAAGAAAGTGGATTAACAACAAAACAAAAGGAGGAAATATTTAAAGAAATATGTAAATTAATTTAATTAAAAATTTTTAAATATTTAATAATTATACATATATATATTTAAAAAAATACATAGTAGTATTCTCTTTTTTCTTCTAAAAAATATACTATTTATTTTTTATAATTAATTTTAGCGAACAATTTTTACCTTCACAAAGTCACTTTCTTAGAAGCCCACAAAATGTTTAATTTATTTAAATTTACAACAAAAACAACATCAGAAACACAAAACGAATTAGCTGTTCAACAAACTAATTCTGAAATTCAACTTGAATATTTACAACAACCAACAGAAACATCATCACAAAAACAAAAAGAGACATATTATGGAATTAAATTCGAAATGAAAAAGGTTTTAAAAAATTTTCGAAAAAATATATATATTTTTTAAACATTTATTTATTTTTAAAAAATTTTTAAACATTCGGATTTCGGTCCCTTTTATAAATATCCTTGGAACCAAAAAGATTTCTGTTAGGAAATAAGAAGGGTGTATTAATCCCGTGAAGGATATTCCTTGCCCAATAAAATATATAAAGTTATTTAATTCAAATAAATTTAGATAAAAGCAATTTTCGAAAATCAAGGAGAAAATAAAAAAGTAAATGAAAATGAAGAAGACGGAGATGAAAAAGCTTTAAACGCTCTGAATAGACAATTAACTGATTTGAAGAGTGTCAATTCAAAGTACTTCCAACAATTTGAAGGAAATATTAAATTAAAAACAGATTGGCAAAAATGTTTAAATTTTGTTATACTTTTGAAAATAGTTGTAAAAAATCATTTGAAAATGAAAAAGAAAATTTTTGAAAAATTCGAAAAGGAATGTAAATTAAATAAATTAAATGTCGAAAAAGAGAACAAAAAAATTAAAAAATTATATGAATTAGTAGTTAAAGAGAAGAATGAAGAGAAGAATCCCGAAAAATTAAAAAATAATTTAAACAAATTATTTAAAGAATTAAAGAAAATTATTGGTCAAATTGACAATAAAAATAAATTAATGGAGTATTTTGAAGAATTGAAAAGTATTGAAAAAAAATCTGAAGATAAGGGACGTCGAGTTGAAATTATTGAAAAAATGAATAGTTTAGTGGCTGGTAAACATATTGAAGAATTTGATGAACGATTGGAAAATAAATATAAATTTTTGTTGGAAAATTGGAAAAAATTATTTTTTGGAGAAGAAAAGGAAAAAAATATTTTTTATAAACAAATATTGCCTGAAATTAAAGGAATTGAAAATTATTTTATAGATTCTGGTGATCTATTTGTTGGATATTGTTTAACTAAAAGAATTGAAAATTCATTCAATAAAGATGGAACTGTGAAATTTTCTGAATTTTTGAGTAATGGGGTTGGACAGGAATATGGATTGGAATTGAATGAAGTTTTGGGGCAGAAACGTATTGATATTGGGTAAATTAAATATTAAATTTTATTAAATATATAGGCGACGTCACTTTAGTTTTAGTGGATTTCACTTTATATATTTAATTTTATTTTTAATACTAAATATTTTCTATTTATTAAATTAAACTTTTATTATTTCTTAGACATTACGAGAATATAAAAAAACAAATTAAAGAAGAATTAAAAAATGTGTGTGCGGAAAATTTCGAAGAAAATTTCAAAGATAAATGTGAATTATTTTTGGAAGATGAATTACAAAACTGGCATTCTTTTTGTTCTATTGATACAGAACAATTGCGTTTTGAACGTTTTGAAGAAATGAATGTTGTTTCTTATGGATATCAACACAAAAATGAAGGAGAAGAAGAAGGAAAAAATGATTCTTTTGAGGAAGTAACTTTTGATGAATTTGGAGGAGATGCTACATCCGAAGGAGAAATTAAAGAATTGGGACATTGAGAAGAGAAAAAGGTGTATAAAAAATGTAAATATTTAGCAGTGTTAGCTGAAAAAATTTTTTTTAAAAAAGGTAAAGTTCAAAAAAATTTGAGAAAAAAGTCAATCCGTTTAATTACGGATACTAAAATTTTTATACGTAACCATCACCTTTTAAATTTATTTATTTGATATTATTTTTAATTTTATTTATTTTAAATTCATGATTTATTGGTCAAGTTTGTCGTTTTTTGTAATCTGAATAGCTCATTTAAATACTTTTTTGTAAAATAATTTTGTTGAATTTTAAGAAAATCTTTTATATCCAACAAAAATACGACAACCTTTTTTTAAATTAACAAATCGAGAATGTATTTTTCATTCAAATTTATTTGATTCATATTATTTAAATATTCAATTGTATTTATTTTAGTTAGAGATCGGAATTTTGTTCCGTACCGTATTCCGTACCGTACTACCGATACGGAATACCGATAAATACCGAAAAATACGGCCGTAGTACGGTACGGTCCGATCTCTAATTTTACTGTTTCAGAACTGGCTTTAAACCCGAAAATTTTGCAATTATTTTTGCCAAATTTGAACCGATCTTTATGAAAATCTAAAACGAAAATTTAAAAAATGTTAATTTAATCTTCCCCGTCCAAATAAATCGGTACTTATTTGTTTAGAAATCATCCCTTTAAAGCAGTTCTGAAATATATTATATTATCTAAGCGTAAAATATCCATTTTTTAAAATTTTATTCGTAAAAATTTGTAAGATATAATTGAATTGAATTCTAAAACAAAAAACATTTCAAATATAATTTAGTTATACAAATTTGAAACTGAAGTTATTCAATTCAATTATAACATAAAAACTTTTCGTTATGTTCACAGAAAAGTGCCGAGTAAAATAGAAAGGTTTTGAAACATTCAAATACTTTTTCAAAAAATTTATTCAAGATTGAAAAAGAATATTTAAAACTAACACGGCACTATTCACAACATTTTTTAGATATATATATTCATGTTTGGACAAAATATTTTAGATGAAATCCTCGGCTTTTGAGAAATTATACTTGTCCAAACATGGGTATATATACATTATACACATACATATGTATATATTCACAATCTGTAGTTATTTTATGCAAATTTATAGTCGCATAAAATTTTTAAATTTTTTAATTATTTTTGTGTTGAGTTTATAAAGAATCGTGACTTGAATTCCTTTTTAATTCAAAATCTTTTTCTCTGAATAATTTGAAACTCGGTCAAATACAAATTATTCTCTTTGAAGACATTACACATGATATGTGGAAGGAAATTTAGGAATTTTGGGCTTAGCAGAATTTTGGGCTTTAATTGAAAAAACGGAGTATTAGGCGCACAAGTATGAAATTTTATTTTTTAAGGATAGAGTTATTTTTTAAGTTATTTTTTATCTCACCCCGACGCCCTCAATTCCCGTGTCTAGAATTTTGCGCCAATATTCTATTTTTTCTCTTAGAGCCAAAAATTCTACTGGAGCCCAAAATTACGAAAAGTTTGTCCATAGTGTTTTTTATTTCATAGATAATTTTTTTTGTTAATACTCTTGTTTGGCTCGGTTCAGTCTGCTAGTAGGTTCCGAAAAAATTCACTTGTGGAACAAGAAAAAGTAAATGGAGTTACTAATTTAGTACAACCTGGAATTGTTAGTTAATGTTATACATACATACTCATACTTCCGCAAACGCAGGACACTTTTTATGAAAATTAAAAAGGACATTTCGTGATATGTACTATAAAATAGTTAAAAGTTAAATAAAATGGCAATATCAAGGCTTTATTTTGTATTTTATTTTTTTGTCAAGGAATATTAATATTTTAAGTTATTTTATTTAAAAGAATTTTTCGATTAAGTTTATAAAGCACTTTTTTAAAAAGTCAATTAATTGTTAGTAAAACCTAATTTAATACAAATTTTTAAATCTGAGAGGTTCTACTATAATCAAAAAATAATTGAATTAATATTTTAGTAATAATTTTCTATCTTAATAAATACTGTTAAATGTAAACAGATTTACCGTTGGTTCGAGTTGCCATTCGAAATCACAATCTATCAGATATAAAAATTGAGATTTTAGATGCAGTTTATCTTTATAAAAATTTGTATAACCTTAACAAATTATTTTCTTTAATACTTTTGTAAGTCCATTGAAAACATTTAATTTTTTTGAATACTTTTTATTCTTCTATAAGATTTGTCTTTAACATTTTTCTAAATATTTTTTTATTCTTTATATAATGTTGACATTTTAAACTTAAGAAAATGCAATATTTTCTGATAATTTTTAGAGTTTAATATGTAAATGTTTGTGTCTTTTCACAATTAAGTAACTAAAAATACTTTTTATATTCAAAGAATATTTTAATAACTTTTTTTTTAATTTTACTTAATCTAAATATTTTTGTAATTTTTTATTTAAAGTATTTTTTAAATATTTATTTAATTAATTTCTAATATTTTAAAATTTATAATTTATTAAATATTAAATTAAAATTTTGAACAATTCTAAAAATCTATTAACTAATTACGCTGGATTTAACTTAAAAAATTTTAATTTGATACAATTTTTTTAATACAAACTAAAAATACAAACTAAAACAAACTAAAAATGACATTGTTAATAAATCGTCTAGTTCCGTCTCATTTCAGGCCATGTAGTATACATATTACTCGGATATCCCGTTTCACAGTTTTTTTTGAAAATTACAATTTACAATAATAAACCTATAATAAACTTTTTAAACAATGCTCACCCTATACAAAATTTCTCTAATTTCTCCAGTTCTCTATTTTAACCTTAAGTTTTAAATAGGGTTGAGCGGAACCTGGATCCCGACGTAAAACCGGGATGGGATTTTTGAATTATGATCCCGGTCGCGATCCCGACTACGGAATCAGGATTGAAAAATCGGGATCGGGATTAAAATCCCGCCCAATCCATCCCGGGATCTAGATCCCGCTCAACTCGTTTTAAATACAGTCTTATCTTAGGGCAAAAAATTTTATAAGACTTATACATATATTGGTCGATATATTATTTAAATTTTATCTTGATAAGGTTAACAAGCAATATATTTAATATATCTAAGTAAAAATTAATAATTTGTTAATTTTTTATTTAACCAAATATTTATTGCAAATATCTAAATATATATTCATAAATTAATATTTATATTAAATTTAATTTGTAAAGAAAAATATTAAATTAGGTTTAAAAATAATTTATATATATAAATTATTTAGTATAAGGAAATGCCATAATAATTTTTATTTAATTTTTGAAAAATAATTTTTTTTTATTAATTTTGAAATAAAAAAATGGAATTATTTTTATTTAAACATCAAGAATACGAACGTCTTTACAATTGTACTGATTTAGTAATTGATTCAATTCCAATAGAAGACCGTCGTTTAACAATAGAAGCTATAATTAATTTAATATTGGGAATAATATATTTTCTGGTTTATTTGCCTTGTTTGTATTCTATATGGAAACAACATTGGAAAAATGATTGTTATACTATTCTTTTATATATTGGTATTGTTGATCTAGTTGGAATAATAATATCAGGATTTTTACATCCAATACTTTCTCTACAAGGGGCTGTTTTTTGTTCATATCCCACACTTATTTATATTGTTGGAACTTTTGTAAATTGTAAAATATTATTTTTGTAATGTTTAAATATGTTCAAATAATTTAAGGTTTTTGGGTTGCTGAGACTAGTGCTGATTTGGTTAGCCACTAAAGATAAATAATTTAATAAAAATTTGATTTACTTTTGAAGGTTCTTGCATTCAACAGATGCATACAAATAATTTCTCCATCAATTGCCAAATTTCTTTTTAAAGGAATGCGTACCTATATTTGGCTATTATTTTGTACTTTATATGCCCTATATTGCATGTTTTTTATTAATCCAGTTCTTTTTTCTGGGATTTATTTTGCGTGGTTTTTCTATCCTTTTGTTGGTTATAGAGAAGATTATGGAGAGGTTATTTGGAGATAAATAAATAAATTAAATTAATTATTTTTTAGTTTGTCTTTGACCAACTTCCTTCTTATCACGATGTTTCTGTAGCCATTCTTTCTCCTTTAATTTATTTAATTTTTGCTATAGCTTTAGTAATTAAAAGCAAGAAAAGCATAATTACTCCAAATCAAGCTCCCACTCAATATTTTTCAATAAGCCGTCTCGAAAAAATGGTAAAAGAATTTTTTTAATAATTTAATCAAATATTATCAAATTTAAAGGTATTTTTACAAGTTTTTTCACTCTCTTTATTAAACACAACAGAATGCTTATTTTATATAATAATGCAATATACAACACAACAAAAATGGATGACTATTTTAGCTGAGTTTTTATGGTGAATTTTTTTGCAATAAATAATTTAATATTTTTTGATACTATTATACTACTATAATTTCTTTAAAAATTTATAAAAAAATAAATTTTTAGGTTTCATATTCATGGATTTCCTCCAATTATTTACTTAACTTTAAACAAAACAATT